AAGAGTGTATTTGAAAACTTTTGTCTGTTTTTCTCACAAGTAACTTGGAATTTTAGTGTGGACAGGAAATACTTCTTTCCTCAGCATTATTTTTAAGTGGGAGCAAGAGAGAATTATTATGCATTTCCCTAGATTTTAGAAAAAGTCTTAAAATATTACTTAAATAGGAGTTGTTCCTTCAGGAAATAAGATTTTTTGTTTTATTTGGAGCAGCAAAAAATGGGACAGCTACCCTCTAAGTCTTTTTTGGCAAATGTGAATTGTGTCATCTCTTCATGATTATTATAAACGAACTGGAAAAACTTAACCATCTTCAGTTAAATCCATTCCAGTAGAGTAGTCTATATCTAATTAGTAAAGGGTTTTATTTTATATAGAAAATGTGTTGGTTCTTAGCCTAGACATCTACACTCTTCCATCTGTTTGGAATGTGAAATTTTGATATGTGGTCTTCAGTGAGCACTGGTTTTAGGCAGTGATCTTGTATGTACTTGTTATACCCATCGTATGACATTTGGCATTGCTTTTCTACCCCAGTACTTCCGTACTGCTAAATAGTTCTGGAGGTTCCTTTATACTGTTTGAGATTTAGATTTGTTAGCCTAGTTTATGTATTGTTGTTGTTGTTGACTAGAAAGTTTTTTTTTTCTTCCATTAGTTTTCTGCGGGTCTTCAGCCTTCAGATTCCACTCTAGAACAAGACAAAAAATTGATTGTATGAAAGCCAAGTTATCTGCTTTCAATGGGTGCACCTACATGTGCATTTTACTGTAGAGTAGACTAATTAACTCCACATTAAATTATCACCATGTACACGTGCACTGGTATTAGGACATAGCAAATTAATTAACTCAACTGTAAGATAATATTGTCAGGGACAGTACTGTCTTACAGTGGAGTACTTGTGTGCACTGAAACGCACCTGTAGATGGTGACAGAGGCTGACTGGAGCATGAGAGTGCTAAGATGTAGGGGCCACGTGTCACCTAGCCATGCACTTTAGCACTCTCATGCCCCAGCCAGCCCCAGTGCTGCCCGCCAGGCCCCCTGCCAGCCCAGAGCTGCTCCACCCTAGCTCAAAGTGCCGCAGTCCCAGGTACATGTGACAACACTGTGCCTGGGAGCAGTTGGCGCTAGCATGAACTGTGCTGGAGTTTATTGCTCTGCCTTAATTACATGTGTAAATGCACCCAGTGAGAACAACCATCTGAGACACTGTCTGCACTCAGATTTTTCTAACCTGTAAGTCTACACCATTGCAGCCATATTTGTGAAAATTTGTTCTGTTAAAAACTATGCTAAAAGCAGTTTCAGTGGAGTTCAGAAAGCAGAAGTTGACTGTGGAGTATCGTCAGTGGGATTCAAGGGAGAGTAAGTCAAGTAAAAAGATAGGAGCAGATGTAGAAAATAAGTTCAGAAAATAGATTGGGAATGTAACGTAAAGGGTTGCACACATTCATCATGAAATGAATACCAAGGTTACTCCTCTGTTTTATCGTAGGGTATCTATAGTTGTATTTTGTAAATGTTTAACTGTTAACACTGTTTTCTTTTATCAGCTTGACCATGCCAATTCTTTGTTGAGTCAAGTACAACAGCCATACAAGTACCTCACTGAAACTGTAAAACAGAGAGACACTCAGATACATTTACAGAAAGAACATATTGCACAACTTGAGAAAGATGTCAGGTAAATAAAAAATTACTACATATGCCATTTTAAATTGAATCTCGAAGTATTTTGTATTCATTAACTTCATTCTACTGCTTGGAAAATAATACTGTCCCTTATAAAATTCCTATTGTATTGTCATGTAATTCTCATATTCAGAGCTTTCCTCATAGTCTCACAGAGAAAAGTCTTCAGAGTTGGGAAAAGGCAATGGGGAAGGAGTCAGATTTGAAAAGGAGTTTGGAGGTGAGGGTGGGGAAGGAAGTAGTAGTTCATCAGAGCTATAAGACAGAGCAGGAAAATTAGTTTGAAGTAAAGGTATGCATGCAAATTATTTTTTGGTTCCACAGTTATAATTTTAGCTATTATTATTCAGTGTTATTATAGTATCTCATCTTGAAGAAATGCATTCTTTCATACCACCATGAAACAGGCTCATTCTCTTCATCTACAGATAAATATCTTCTAATACCCACTCATAGGATATCTTTCATTTGAGCTGTCTGACTGAGGAAGAGCCAATATTTTGTTCTAGGTTTAAGCTTTTTGGGTATTTTACCACAACTTGACCCTCCTGAAACACACAATTCAAAAATCAGTATTTTTCTCATAATTCAAGACAGGTCTCTTGTTCTTTTCTACATATATAACGTTTTTATAGACAAAGTAGGCTTGAAGCTATTAAGACTTGGCTTGGTATTAAATTATATTGTGAACATAGACGGTATACATATTTCTTCGTACAAAAATGTCTTATGTGATAGAATATAAAGGATAATAATAAATATACATAAGGAAGCCTTTTTCAGTCCTGCATCACAGTTATTACAGAAACTTCACAAACAGATCATGGAACTCATTTCTAAGATCAGACATTTCATGGTCATTGGAACGCACAAGATGCCAAATGCTGTATAAACATTAGAACTATTTGATGGCCTGCTGCTCTCTAAAGTGCTTTTTGGCTCAGCATTCAAAATAGATATTATGGATATTTCTGGACAACACAACAGCAATGTTCTGCCTCAAGATGCAGGCAGGGGGCCTTACTCCTAGCCACTTTGCCACAGACTTGATTATTTTAGAACAGGAAAAATGGAAGTATTGATTTTTGATGCAGTAACATGGGAATAATATTTACTTCAAAGATCATGTTTTGGCAAAATGTTTTTCCCATAGTTCCCAATGCCATGTATTTCTTTTTAGCTGGTTACTAGTAAAATAACTAATATTGACATTTAACTTGTCATAATTAGGCTTCAGACTCAGTAGCTTAATGAACTGATTAGGAAGAATTTATATTTCACTTAATAGCTTAAAACTTTTGATTCACATCACTGCCCCCCTTTAATTTTGTTATGCATAGCTCTAGCTTTCCAAAGCAAATTTTAAGTGGTAGCTGAGTATAGGCAAAAATCCCCAGGTGGAATAAATCCTATGTTGCTGGCCCTGTGTTATTCTTGTAGCAGTCCATAACATAAGAGGCGTGTTCAGAGCATGGTCAGAGAAAAGGGGAGCTTGTACTCAAGCAGTCTTCAGCTTCCAAAATGGTTGTTTGATGTTTCTTGATGCTGGAGACAAATTAGAGTTGTTGTGAAATAGGCCCTGGCTCTCAGTTGCCCCCGGAGCCAGTTGAGAAAGTGTAGAGTAGTGTGACTTACAGACAGTCTCTTTCTGTTTTTGTGCTGAGTGAAGCTTAGATTGATCATAGGACCTGGCCCAGTGTTTCCTAGATTGTGGCTCATAGACTGTATTGCCCTTGAGACTTTCTGGTGTTATTTGTAGCCACAAGAAATTGAAAGGTTAAAAATGCGGGAAACAGGGAAAGCCACATATGATGTTATTCAGAGTTGATTCATTCAGTATTGTTATTGCTAGGCCAGGATCTAGCCCCTTGTTTCTCCCTGTCAGCTTACTAAAGCAATATTGCTTTCAATTAGATACAGAATATTGTTGCAAACACTAGGTCTAGAAAAGTAATTATATTTAATTTTTCTTAAATAAAAACTTAAATTCTTCTTAAATTTGTTGAGACCATCCAAAAAGCATTGGTGGAGCATAAAAGCCATATTTTGCAGAGCCTGTCCCATTCTGTCTTGGAAATGTGTTAAGTTCTTTGAAGGTGAAACTAGTGACTGTAATTTTTATTTAATGGGTTTTTTCACTTTTAACCCTCTGGAACTTGGAAACTGGGCTTTGTTATATTCTGTAATTACCTAAACTATATAAATACCACAGAAAGTTTCACGGCTAATGATTATACCTTTTTTGTATAGAAAACTATTTTTACTAGTAACTATTTTGGCATCAGTTTTTCAGACTCTTGGTCTTGAGTATTAGGCCTTTGAAAGTCACAGTTAGTGATTTACAGATATAATTTGAAAGCTTTATTTTATGTTTGTTTGAATGGTATACTCCCATAAAAGCCGTCTACTCTTAGACAAAACTGTAGTTGTTAGCTATGGGGATTTTTTTTTTCCTTAGCCTCTATTAAAGGAACCTCTCTAACATTCAGTTCTTTATCCAGAAATGAAAACACCATGGTTAGCACATTGCATGAAAAGAAATACCTTGTGACTGTGTATGTCATGCTGTGGGAAAACAAGTCTGTGAATTTCATTCTTATGTATGCAAAGAAATAATTGTAGTTTAGTACTTAGTTTTATGCTAAAAGCATCTAGGTATATAAATAACTAAAGCCATTAAACAAGACTTCATTCATAAAGCAAGGGTATTTATATTAAACATAAGTACTCAGATTTCTCAGTACCAATGGTGGATTTTTAAAGTGACTAACTGATCCAAAAGCACTTTTAAAAAGCCTGTGTTGCAGATCTAGAAACAGTACAAGGGGTTAGCTCACTAAAGACCTAAGTACCAAAATGTTTCATACCTATACAGCTCTAATTGCTATCCAAGAAGAAGAATGTTCAACACAGGGGTTGTGAAAGGAGTTTATCCACCATTTTTACTATGGGGGGAGGAAGTAATACTGTTTTGTGCAACTTGTTTTACGTGTTAAAAAGTGCTTTGCATTGTTGATTTATAGAGTTAAAAAAATAATGATGATGCTCCGTTATATTTTATGTTGAAAAAGCAAAAAAACAAAACATGACTTTTTCTGTATTGGTATATATTCTGTTCTAAATCACAGCTTAAAAAGTATGCTTTTTACTTGTGGGCTGGGATTCTAATTGTCTAGCTCTCAGTGAAACTGATGAAAGGTAGGTAAATAAATCCTTGTTCCTGTGGTCTTTCAGCTCTAATAGGATGTATCATAGTTTTCACTTGCTACATTGCTCTTTAATTTGAACTATAGAAAACTTTCCTACATTGCTGTGACAAACTCTTTCTAGGTGAGTTCTAGAGTTCCAGCTTCTCTCCCCATATTTACTGTGTACCCTTGGGGCCACAACTGGACCCCTCTTCCCCAGGCCTCACCTGCTGTTTACTGGACCTTAGAGCTTAGCAGAGATGGCTTCTTCCAATTCTAGAGTTTTTATCGGTTTGCTTGCAAAAGAAAATGAAGATGGATTCCTGTCTGTGCAGAAATGTCATACCTATTGATATCAGCTGCCTTGAACGTACCCTTATCATGAGACAAATAGTATGGTATGAAGCAGAACATATTACATAAAAACATGTAAGAAAAAAGATTGAATATAGATATATGAAAACATACAAAAGATACCTCACTCTGCTCTCACTAATTTGAATCAGTCTGCTGGTGAATTTGGATCAGTTTCCTGGCTGAAGAGGAAGAGATGGATAGAGGTAGTCAACCAAAAACTGCGGTGCTGGTGTCATCATGAAGGCTTCAGCGTCCACGATCACAGTCTGCTCTTTGGTGAGAGAGGCAGTGGTCTGCTAGGAAGAGATGGCCTCCACCTCACTTCACTGGGGAGGAAGCTCTTTTCAGCCAGAATGGCTGACCTACTCGACCAGGCTTTAAACTAAGCCCACTGGGGGATAGGTGGAGTACCACCAAAGCAAGCCCACTAGGCTTTCACTATAAAACCAGCAGGTTAGGGCACCCAAGGGAGACCACTCCTACCCCAGCCCTGGAACAGTATTCTTCTGGGAGTGTAAGGAAGTCTAGGGCTTTCAATGAGACACTTACATGTCTATACACCAATGCCAGGAGCTTGGGGAACAAACAGAAGGAACTGGCCCTCCTACAACTAGAATGACTACACTCTCATAGAGATAACAGAGACCTGGTGGAACTCCACCTGTGACTGGGCCACAGGTATAGACAGCTATACCCTGTACAGGAAAGATCATGTAGAAAAAAGGGGTGGGAGTGTAACTCTCTATGTAAAGGAAAGCTACACGTCTCTGCAAACTGACATTGGCATCCATGCAGGACAACTGGAGACCCTCTGGGTGAAAATACGTGGGGAACATGGCACAGGGGACATAATAGTAGTAGTTTACTACATACCTAATCAGGAACAAGAGCTTGACTAGGGATTCACCAAGAAACTGACTGAGGCTGCACACTCTCTGTGCATGGTTGTCATGGGAGACTTTAACTACCTAGACATCTCATGGAAAGAGCACTCAGTCAAATCCGAACAGTCACAAAGCTTCCTCACATGTGTGGACGAGCTCTACCTGACTCAAGTCTGCGAACTGACAAGAGGTAAAGCGCTGCTGGACCTGGTACTGGCAAAAGGGGATGATCTAGTCAGCGATCTAAGAATCGAAGGAAAGGTGGGAGACAGTGACCATGTGCTGATCACTTTTACTATCCATCGCAAAGCTGGCAAGCCCTCAACTTTAGGAAAGCTGACTTTGATAAGCTCAGGAGGCTTGTGGTCGAGGCACTAAGGGGCTATGACTTGACAGGGAGGGGAGTCCAAGATGAGTGGTTGCTCCTTAAGAAAGCGATCCTGAAAGTACAAGGGATGTCCGTCCCATCTCAGAGGAGAGGTAAGAAGGTGGCACAGGAAA